AACCTTTCACATAGGAAATAACAAGACTGGATCGGGTAGTAGACAAGCTGGTGATAAATAAATAAATACATATATTTAAACACATCTCAACATAATTTATTTATTGAATAAAAAACTAGATAGGAAACACTTTGGAATATTGGAATTTCTTCTTCTGTCCCTGGAAAAATGGTATGGTACATTACGGGTAAGCATTTATTCACAAAATAACAATAAAAAAAAAGAAAATCGTACATACAGAAACACAATATAAACACAATAAGATGACACAAGTATTCTGAAGCTTGTAGTTTTGAAACCATCAACTCTTGTAGTGTCACAACGTTCAAATGACAATATTCGAACTGTTCGTGTTTGGTTTAAGTAGGAATATGATTTGTATTATGCATTAAATTAAATTAAAAATGTAAAATAAACACGAAGAGGTGTGTGAAAAGGAGTGGTAGAATAAGGTTGACAACAGAGATCACAGAACAACAACCATTGCACTTGAAGTTGTCTGAGTAGTGAATTTGGAAATCCAAGTCTCAGAAAATATTCACAACCAAGTAGTTGTCTTGTACATAGTAAACAGGGCTTAAATTCCATCGGCCAGCCTTCACAGCCGAGGTTCTGCGAAACTATTTATGGAGCAAACAGAATCTCTTTATAAGCCGCATTCCGGACATCATAGCTGTAACAGGGTCGGTTTTGTTACATAAATATTGACGTTTATACGTTCCTCGAGTTTTATTCCTAAAGATTAAAAGATTACGAGCCCAGATCTGATATTGGCCCAGAACCCCTGACGTGAACTTTGGAAGTATGTGGTGAAATTATCATTACTTCAAGCAGCGATTTTACAATTTGCGCATCATTATAAAACATTCAAACATCAAAATGTTAAAGCCCCCCCCTCCAAATATCATGTCTTTAGTCAGTTATGTGGAATAGAAAACTGCTTGGCCCCCTCTGCCCCTGTCATCCTAAACAGACTCTAGTCCCTCTTGTGCCCTCTTCTTTCCAAATTAGAAAAAAAATCTGTTGTTAATTTAATTAACTTGTAAGCCGCAAATTCGTACATCGAGGTACAAGTGTGTTCCCAAGAGAATAGAAATAGCATCAAGAGATGTTAAAAATAATTCCGACAGTTTTCTCATTTTATTAAAGCTTTGAGCCTGCACTAGCCAAAAACTTCTTCAGGGTTCCCTTAGGCTTGTCGTCCATTTGTAGTCGTACATATTTTAGTTTAATGCTAATTATAGTAACGTGATAAAACCATTTTTATTATTTTGATGATCACTTATATACAGAGTGTCCCAGAGCTCTAAGCCACACTATAAACTTATTACATCCATTAGAGCGCTTATTCTATTTGGAATATATATGTATAAACGGAAATGTGAAACTGATTTATTGTCAAGATATGTCATACAGAGTTGAATAACTTGAGAACAGTTAGTTACATAAATGAGTTACTGAGTTAAGAGAATTTTGGTACACACTGTATAGAGATAAATGAAAAATATTTCACGTCACCATGACATATTTTCGCGAAGTAAAATTCAAGGTCTCTTTTATTGACACGTCTTATGTTGTACGATTTTGTTAATCACCTCATATAGAACGGACGTATAAGCCCAATGCTGTAAGTCTGTTAATGTACATGACGATGTTACGTTTGTAACTGAATTACTCGTACAATGTATTTGCAACGGTATTTATTCTATCTGACGAAGAATTCTGTTTTGGACCTTTGGCACAAAGATCACGCAATATATGTTTCTTTTGTACAGAATTTAAGCCGCCAATCACAATGGCCGTGCGGTCTAAGACGCGTAATGTCTTCGACCTCTCGAACATTTGTATCGTGTTTTCGAATCCCACTCGGGGCTTGAATATTTATTCGCGTTCTTTTCTGTTTGTGTTTTTCTGTGTGTTGCCTTGCGATAGACTAGCCCCTTTCGATGAGTTTCATAAAACATTTATAAACTTTGTAGACTGCATCCTGTTGTGTATATAATATTTGATTTTGTATTTGTATTATAACCGTCAACACAACAGGAGTGGTATGGAAATATGTAGAACGGAGATAGTAGATGTTAATGTACATTTTACTTATTTATTACAAATACAGCTATGCCACATGTTTCGACCACAATTCGGTATTCATCGGGCCTTAAATGAACACATCTCAAGTAATTAATAATTGCAAATTTGTATATTTCCAAGATATATTTGTTACAACAGAACAATCTGTTAACTAATACTTATCCGTATTGTACCCAAAGTGTTTAATTACTTGAGATATGTTCATTTAAGGCATGAAGATGACCGAATTGTGGTCGAAACATGTAGCATAGCTGTATTTGTAATAAATAAGTAAAATGTACATTAACATCTACTATCTCCGTTCTACATATTTCCATACCACTCCTGTTGTGTTGACGGTTATAATACAAATACAAAATCAAATATTATATACACAACAGGATGCANACACATTAAAAATTATAACAGGCCAGAAAACTGAAGAAGAAGGAGAAGAATTTAAGCCCTAGTTTGTATAATTTATAAAATTCTTTCAGATTATTAACAACATTTGGCAGGTAGCAGGTAATTGCCCGTCGTACACGAGATTTCTGTACTGAGTTCAGTTGGCAATATGTCAGGTCCTTTTATGAGTTCCTTCAGTTGTGACGAACGAAAATAATACACTGATGTAGCAGTTATCACAGTAATACACGCTGCTTCAGTAATTATTTTGTGAACTACATGCCACAGATACGCCTGTATAAACCTAAGATTTGAGTAGACACTATAGGGTTCTGTCGGTGGTCTATAACACACAGAGATACTGGGTTCCGGACTTTGTCCATCGTCCAGATTCTAAATAACTAAGAAAAAACACGACGTTTCGGAAACTGGATCTGTTTCCGTCCTCAGGTGAGGGAAGACACGTACTCTGTTGGGTCCCTTAGAAAGAGCTAGCCTCAATCACAATCCAGTGATTGAGGCTAGCTCCCTCAGGTGAGGGAAGACACATACTCTGTTGTGTCCCTTAGAAAGAGCTAGCCTCAATCACAATCCAGTGATTGAGGCTACCTCCCTTAGGTGAGGGAAGACACGTACTCTGTTGGGTCCCTTAGAAAGAGCTAGTGATTGAGGCTAGCTCTTTCTAAGGGACCCAACAGAGTAGGTGTCTTCCTTCACCTGATGACGGAAACAGATCCAGTTTCCGAAACGTCGTGTTTTTATTTGTTATCTTAAAAACCAGGACGATGGATAAAGTCCAAAAACCCAATATATCAATCCGAGAACCCAGTATCTCTCTAAGATTCGAGGCTTTCATGAGGGTGAAGATTCATGTTGTTACCGTATAGGTTAAGGAACCGTGTAGNTTTAAAGTCCCTCCCGGAGGGCTTGTTCCCTGGAAATTTCCGCCCTTAAAAATTCCACGACCTCCACCGGGTTTGAACCCGCGTACAACGAGTCATGAGGTGGGANCCTCCCTTAGGTGAGGGAAGACACGTACTCTGTTGGGTCCCTTAGAAAGAGCTAGTGATTGAGGCTAGCTCTTTCTAAGGGACCCAACAGAGTAGGCGTCTTCCTTCACCTGATGACGGAAACAGATTCAGTTTCCGAAACGTTGCGTTTTTTCTTATTTATTTAGAATCCGGACGATGGACAAAGTCCGAGAACCCAGTATCTCTCTAAGATTCGAGGCTTTCATGAGGGTGAAGATTCATGTTGTTACCGTATAGGTTAAGGAACCGTGTAGTCTTTCAGGTGGGTACCAACGTTTGAGAGGAATACACTGCTTCCATCTTCAGGGTTCTATTTAGCATGTTCTTCCAAAACACTGATACACACATGCCAGGCTAGGTGATATCGTAACCCAGAAGGCTGCAACATGAATGACGTCACGTAGTTTGTTTGTGAGACTCAAGTTTGAATAGAACCGTTACTTTTTACAGTTTAGTCTGTTATTTATTCTCCACAGATGCCAAGTAAATGTCTTGTATGTTATACATATTGCACAGTGCCAGCGTTCCCGTTCACAATTTCAGAAAGTATTTTTACTGTACGTCACGCCGTAATCTGGTATAAATTCATTTCATTACCACGGTTTCTATAAAATCTACAGAGTTAATGTACCAATTATGCTGTTAACATCGTTGCTTTTAGTGCGCACGCGAACTATACCGACCGAGCGACCGCCGCTTGTCGGCGAAGTTAGTGCCAACTTTTGCGGATAGAGGGTGTCGCATGGTCAGCACAACGGATTTCCACGGCTGTTAATCTGTTTTCTAGACCGGAGGCGCTACTTTTCCAACCAAGTAGCTCCTCAATTATCCTCACGAGGCTGAGTGGACCCCATTCCAGACCCACTACTTCTAAAAAATCTGGTAGCGCCGGGAATCGAACCCGGGACCTCTGAATCTGTAGCCAGGAACTCTGATCACTAGACCACAGAGGAGGCCCGTGGTGCTGTAATCGTTTTATTATCATTGTTATTATGAAATATATATTTACTCACTGTAACGGCATCATTGTCGCAAGGATCCCATTGTTGTCACAAACTCATTGTTATCACGTTCCTATTATTTTCACTGTCCGATTGTTATGACCATGTTAGGTGGGTCCCATGTCACCATGACATGGCGCGTCGTCAGGTTCCGGAAGGAGACGGCCTCCAGAGTTGGAGGGTAGCTGCTAATATATTGAATAAGCAGTCGCGGGAAGCCAACAAGGGGTGATCCTCCAGCTTCGGTTTGGGCATGGCGCTAAGAACTCCTCACTATAAAAATAAAATTGTTACGAAAGATCACAAGAAGCTTCGGACCTAGACGGATTCTTTGGATAAACGACCTAACAGAAAACAAAGACGTAGGTGTGTGGACAGTATTAAAATGGATCTTGGAGAAATAGAATGGGGGTCGTATGGACTGGTTCGATCTGGCTCAGGATAGGGACCAGTGGAAAGCTGTTGTGAACACGGTAATGAACATAAAATGCTGGGAAGTTCTTGAGTAGCTGCACAACTGGCGGCTTTTCAAGAAGGGCTCATCTCCATGAGTGAGTGAGTGATCCGATTGTTATGATGCAATTGTGACGATCAAGTTGTCGCCATGATCCAATTGTTGTCACAACCTCATTGTTGTGATGATCCTACTTTTTAACTAACCTGTCGCTATGATTCCATTGTTGTCACGATCTCAGTGCCTTCCTTACGGAGGAAATAATGGGGAACTAAGTTGAACTGGACTCGAACCCATGCACTTAAAGACAAAATTGACAATTTGCCTGTGGTTGTGTCCCCAAGAGGGACAGCTTTACCATAAAAACTTTTTCAAAGACGCGAAGTTTGCGAGAAGAGCGTGGGACTTGCGGACTTTGACAATTTTATAAAAATATGTGAAAGTATTTTATGTTATAATATCCTGAAAATTCCAAAAAGTTGGTGAAATTTTTTTGGCTAGTTAAATGCTGAGATTGCACCAATTTCAGAGTCGTTAGACAGCAAAATATGGTCATGAGTCCCGCGGACTTGGAATCCAGAATCATGTCTTCACTGGCGAGGACCAGCAGCAATTTACTCGACCGACCGACTAGTTGAGCTCGCTGCTTCATCGAGTTAGTTACGTGATGGCTGAACAAACCAATATTTTCCGATATCCAAGAGACCGGCTCCTCGCCTTGTTTAACACAGGTGGGCTAGGCCTGCTGCATACTGCAGCCTTGTACGTGGCTGAGGCCATCGCGTGTTACTGCAAACTGCTACACAATGTTGTCAGGAACTTTGAGTCGCGTTCTGAAGCCGTCGTGATCAGTAGGGACGCCAAACTGACGGGTCTGTCTGTTGCCGATCACTGCTCCCTGCACCACCGCTCGGGTACCTAGAGAGTCCATGGTCGTCTTCCTGCGTCGCGGTGCTGCCTCCAGACCCCTGGTGGAGTATTCCGATCTCTATTGCACCCCGAGACGCAGCCGAACTTATGGTGACGTTACCACCAACACCAGTCGCTGCGGCCACTATATTTGCCGTGTCGTCATCCTGGTGCTGGTAACACTGTAGCGAGTCTCCCAGTGACGAGCCCGTCTTTGAACTCCCGTGCAGGTCGTTAGGAGATGAATTGCTGTGAAGATGGAGGTGGATTTGATTCTGGTTGACAGTTGAGTAGAGATGTGGATAGAACACCATCGTAGGCGGTCCGGCGGGGTTGCTAATGTACGGAGCGGCGGCTTGAGGGGCCGGAGGACCTGGGTTTGATCCCCCGCTGGGGTTACTAGTAGTACTGGTATAATAGTTGGGGTAGTTGTTGGGGTGGTGGGGATGATGTGGGTGATGAAAGTTAGTGACAGATGCTGCTGGCGCCTGGTGACTGCTCCATGAACCAGCTGAAGGATGGTGGTACGATGTTCCGCCGCAATTGAGTCCCGGCGCTGCTGTCAAAACAAAACAAGTCTGTTAAAATAAAAAAACAGAAAACTACTCACATTGAGGTATGAGTAATGTCTCAGACTTGTGTATGAACTGTTGCGTTTCCTGTAAAGTCATAATTTTCTTGAGAAACAAATTCTTGTTTAGTCACTGTAAGTAAATCAGTGGTTTCTAACTATGGTTCACGAACCCCTGGCGGTATGCCAAAAATTATGGCGAACAGGGAGCATTTTGTGCGTCAGTATTATTCTTGGATGAATATGATTTTTTTTTATAGTCGGGCTCAACTGTATAGTTTAAATTTCGGTGATTTCCATCCAATTCAGGAGAAAAAATTATTTTGGAAACATCATGGGCTTTACTTGACACGTTAAATGAGTGTTTGAGACAAGACTGAGGAATTATAACGTTTGCTTAGAAATCTTGTGATGACTTCGGGTGTTCTTTTTTGCTGTTTCTCAGACAGAATGTCCATCATTGTTGCCCTTTGGTTCTTAAGCTTGCTTTAAGACTGGGGTGGCCTGCAGTGATGCCAATCCTTATTGGCATCGTAAAACACGTTCACGGTAGATTGCAGTGCTATCTGTTGGGGTCAGTGTGAACTACATACTCTGCACGAACAACAATCCTTACAAACTACGATACAAGTATGTTTTATTGTGTGTCTAAAATACGTATCTGTGACGCAGGTTGTTACATAAATAGCAAATTACTAAATTCTATTGTGAACATACAGTGGTAACCAAGACGATCTCGTCGAAGGAATAGGACTTTTCCTCCTTAACCTTGCTTACACAAACTATGAAGCATTCTTACAGATATTCCAGACAGAGTCTACTTACTGGGCGTGGTGTTATATACATTTGGGGCAGGATTTGTAGCGTCGGGCCCCGCCGGATATCGATGTCCAGCCGCTGGGCCCCCGCTAGCCCCCAACAGACTGCTACTACTACACGACATATTGTCCAGGTCTCCTGGTCCGGGGGGCGATACTTTGTGTGGCGGCGGCGGTGGCGTCGAGAACATGGCGCTGTAGTCGCTGCCGCCTCCACCACCCCCGCTGCCGCCAATACCTCCACTCGAATGCTCCGATAACACTGTAATAAGACAGGAACGAGAGATAAGTCGTGCATTTGAATCCTCTCTGTCAGCATCTTGGGTTACGGTGTATCTTCAAGGAGCGGAAACCTTGTGAACCTGATGGTTCCTCATCTGATATAATACTTTAGAATAGTAAATACATGTACAAGTAAGTCAGATCCTGTAAATTCCGTCAAATGTCGTTTAATCTTCGTATATGCCTGTATTTTGTTAGCCTACTTTCCTCATTTTGAAAAATAAAAGGAGGCTTATGAGATCACCCCGTCTGTGTATCCCCCATAATTTTTGCTAGGAGGCTCAATGTCTCTGTGTCTATTTCTGTAGCCTCCTAATTATTTTCATTTTTTCCTTGGCCCATGTCGTCACAGAGGAAAGTAGGTCATTAGTTCTTCCCAGAACTACTTGTTTCTCTGATTTCAGTACTTCCTCAGCGCTGCGTGCGAGAAATAAGTGACCTTACAGCTACTAGGTTACGGGCTGGACGGCCGAGCATTCGGGGTGTGTTTCCTGCCGTTGGAAATTATTTTTTCTCCTCTACACAGCACCCAAGCGGCTCTGGGTCTCACCCAGCCTCCTATCCATTGGGTATAGGGGACTCTTTGCCTCAGGTTAACACGGAAGGGGCGTGAAACTGACCACTCACTTCCAACTAGTGCCGAGGTCAAAAATGATCTTCATGGCTTGGTGCTTAATTAATCAAACATAGGGCCAACTTTACGTTTTTCCTATACCTTATAGTCCTAAAGGGGTTTGTTGATCCGTGGCTCCGCCTGTGTATGGCTTTGGTAAGCCCCGCACAGACGGAAGAATTTAGTGCTCTTGCAAAATTCACATTTGAGCACCAGACAGTGATACCTGCTGTCGCATGCTCAGGTGGTCAGAGAACAGTTATAGTGAAACATAACTCGCAAGTGACATGACTGTCAACCAATGCTGTGTCGAGACGGACAGCGCTGAGTGCTGATACGAGGTAACATTAAATTCCAGCTGGACTGTAGTTCTAATACCATCTTAACATCGCTTCGCACCCCTACTGGGTCACCTGTTGGTATAGTCCTGCAGAAAGCTTACCGGTGGGCAGATGTCCCATTGAAGTGGGGTCTAATGTTGAAGGCGGGACAGCGACCGGTCCCGGTAGATCACTGCTGCAGGAATAAGAGAACGTCGGTTGCAGGGGTGAATATGGAGGGTAGGGCGATGGTCCGGCAGAAGTGTAACCTCCCCAAGGAGGATCCGAGCACCCCGCTCCCAAACTGCCCCCAGCGCTTGAATCTGTAAACACAATTTCATAACATTAATAAATTCCATACAAGAACTCTGCAGCGCTTCCCAGATTCTAGCGGACGGCGTTCACTGTGGCGTCGAATGCCATGTTGTTGGTCCCTTGTCACCACGGCATGGCGCGTCCTCAGGTTGCGGATGGAGGAGACGGCCTTCAGATATGGAGGGTAGCTGCGAATTGAATAAGTAGTCGCGGACAGCCGACAAGGGGTGGTCCTCAGCCACCACCCAGAAATAAATTATGAGTTCTTCATTGTGGAAATTAGGTACTTTCAGCGATATTTTTCTGAGCGTTTTGTTATCGGATATTCTGAACGTCACACATTCTGTCAGTGTATCTGGAACATTTCGACGCTGCAGCCTACTTGAATACATCACGGCCCTCGAAATCTCGTAGCCCAAGTAGGCCCTAAGTCGCCTATCCATGTAAAACTATGTTCGTTCTGTTGACTACGCCATAGCTCAAGTGGTTAGTCGAGGATTTCCACAGCGGCGGCCCTGGTTCGATCCCGGGTCTGGTCAAGTGGGGTATGTGGTGAACAAAGTGGCGCTGAGGCAGGTTTTCTCCGAGTATTTCGGTTTCCCCTGCCAGCTTTCATTCCACCAATTGCTCCACAATCACCCTCACCTATCATCTGGGGCTGGTGCAATAGGCCAGAAGTGGCCGCAGTACAAGGCACTTAGTCCCACCCCACTAGCAATAAAAAGATTTTCGTTCTGTTCGCCGTTTTAATAGGCATGGGTGCTGACAGGTGGGGGACTAAGTCAGGCGTCTAGATAAAACTGGAAAGTGGAGGAAATTCACTAAATATTAATATTAATTATTACAATTATTCTTTTACCTTCAGTATTCTGCATCGATCAATAGAACAGCCCTAAACCGCCTAGAAGCGAGACTTGAACACATTTTCCGGCCCTACCCGGAAAATGGCTTTCCCTCGGGAACGAACTCTGGTTGTGCCCTTGCCATTAGGCCTACGCTATAGCTCACAGTGAGCTTAAGCAGATTAACCTTTCGAAACCTGAAATTCATCTACGTGTAAATACTGTGACGTATTTATTTTAACTCTTCTTTAGAACCACTTTGCACGGACCGAATAGAGAACATTTTCCCAAAAATTCCTCTATTGTTGTATGCGGACCTGTTGCCGCGGAAATTTGTTGCCGTTGCCTAGCATTGGACATCTCTTCTGGCTCCACTATTCCGGCCTTCAGGCTTCATGTCACAGTACTAAAAAAATCAGCTCTTACCTCACAGGAAACACATTACGTCTCCGTTACGAAGACCAGTCGGTTAATGCAGTTTAGGGAAATAATCGTTGTTTATCCTGAGAATAATTCGAATCAAACAATCCCACACTTTATAGCGAACATGCATAATTCTTGAACGTTAACGCGGGTGGTACATCTAGTTACCACTGCGTTTTGAAGGGGTTTAACATCTTAAGACAGTTAAAATATGACAAATTCGGAAGACCAATGAAAAAAATTAGATTAAAAATAAACTGCTATGTTCTAAAAAAGCGAAATACACATATAACAAGCGTACGGAAATTCCACAAACAGCGAGACAGCAACGCTTTAACATTGTAAATATGAGCTCAGGACAATGAGATGAGCCAGGAATAAAAAAGTCACTGATACCAACACAATTTATGAAGTACTGTTGAATATGTAAAAACGCATTTGGGTTCAAAACTGTCGTGTCACACACATTGAGAACTCTGTAATATAATCATAATCATCATCATCGGCAAAACGGCCCTTTTAAAGCAATAACACTTCCTTTGAAGATTCTGCCAGATTTGTCCATTCCTGGGAATTAGACCATCCAGTTTAAACTTCTTTGGACTTTGCAACAATATTTTTTTTTTATGGAGCAAGCTCGTCAGCCTTGCATCCAACCCCTCAACCTGGAGGACTAGGTCTCTGTATTTATGTTCCCCAGTGACAGGGTGGCCCAATTATGCCCGCAGGCACCGGGTTGCCTTTTCGTCGCCTTCTACGCGTCGCAGGGCTGCGACGGAAGTATTCTAACCCGTCTCCACACGGGGACTGTTAATATGCAGTTAACATATCAAGGAACAAGGTGATATTTCTTCGCGTTTGTTTAGAATAATTGTGCGCATTCCTAGTTCCTTTTCGTGAAACTACTTCGGATTATGTGTTCAAGTGATGGTTGATGTGTAGTCTTTTACGAGGAAACCTGTCTTGTAGCAAGAACGTCGGATGAGTGTGCGTGCGTGCGTTTGAAAGCGACTGGTCCATGCAGATCCTTGTCTCTGGAGTGAATGATTCAGCACTTTGCCGGATGACGTCTGCCTCGGCTTCACTGAGCGTAGGCTAGTCTGTAATGCTAACTTCGCGAGAAATACGAGATGCGTCACAATCTCGGATGTAGGTCACACAGCTGGGGGAATTCTCTCTCTACATTACGCCTGCTTTTTATTCAGCGAGTTTTGGAGTTCGAAATTTCAAGGTCAGGGACTGGTTTTCTTAGAAGCATTCAAAGGATTGATTACGCAGTAAACGTTTGTATTGAAACTGGCGATTTGGATTAGAACATGTTGGACCTGAGACTCCACTTGTGTTTGGCTTATCTTTCGACCCCGATGATGGAGGCGATGTGTTCCTCCGTAGCGTCTGTATATATCTCGGTATATCCCTGAAGACAGTACTTTTCATAGATCTGACTGGTTTACAAGTGTTAGAACATCGTTTGATTTATGGAATGGCCAGAGATTTTGACGAGTTTGCAATGAAAATTAGCAAAAATTCTTATAATAGTTTCCACGTTAATTTGTTTGGCTCTGTAAGATTTGAGGTTTTCACGGCGGTGACTGTGAAGAATGTTGTCTTCTGGGATGTGGATATTTTGTTAACCGACGTTTTGGAGGACGTATCGCCTCCATCTTCAGGGTATAAATATCCGAGAGCGAGAAACCAGCGTGAGCATGTGGCTACAGACTGAGTCACCAGTCGAAAACACCCAGCTATATAAGAACAGGAAGGGAGCGAGAGGGGACCATGTGGCTGGGTGTTTTCAACTGGTGACTCAGTCTGCAGCCACCTGCTCACGCTAGTTCCTCGTTCGCGGATTGTTTATACCCTGAAGATGGAGGCAATACGTTCCTCCAAAACGTTGCTTTACACAATATCTACAAAGCGTCACATCCCAGAAGGGGCATTCTTCATTGTTTGGCCCTGTCCTCACGTAATATATTGAGAGCCGCTAAATATATTTCCATGAAATATTATATTGGGAACTTCTTGATAAAATTTGTTGATATAGCCCGAGTTTCGTTAAGTAAAATCTGACTAAATAGCGGACACTTCACACGAAGACATGCATACATTTGCGCGCGCATCTGAAGCGCAACTCTCTAAATACTTTTTATCGGAGTGAAAACCATTTCGTACAAAAGATGTGGAGAAAGAATCTAGAAACTGGTTTTATTTTTAATATACTCGTATTTTTCCTTAAATTTAACGGGTTTAGAAATAAATAAACCAAATAATATTTATGTTGTGTCATCTCATTACCCCACACTCTACAGGCGGTAACAGAGCGAACGCGACTGCGCTATGCGTGCATTTCCTAACTTGCGGTTACTTCACATCGACCTGGACCTTTACCCAAAGATCTAAGGCATGGTGCTTAGGCAAAAAATTAATTTTTCTTGTATTTACAATATATTATTTGAGTGAATGATTGATCAATTCTTATGGTTGCAGCAGCGGCCTCCGTAGTCTAGGGGTAACGTTCCCACCTCGTGATTCAAGGTACGCGGGTTCAAACCCGGCGGAGGTCGTGGAATTTTTAAGGGCGGAAAAATTCAGGGAACAAGTCCTCCGGGAGGGACTTTAAGCCGTGGGTCCCGTGTCGTAGCTTTACGGCACGTAAAAGAACCTCACGTCTCCAAAGGAGGCCACTGAGCAAAATTACGGACGTTTCCCGCCCAACAGTAGTCTCTAACACCTCCGGTAGATGGGGGAAGCATTAAAGATACCACTCAGCTAGTAGAGGCCGATGTCGCTGGCTGGGCGGGACTGATGGTAAGCACCAGTGCCGGTAGGATATAGAGACTGGTAGCATATCATAGAGGGAAGCACAATGGACCAAGACAGGTCTAAGTGCATGGGGAAACCCACCCTCTCCAATAACTAACTAAGAAAGAAATAAAGAAACTAATAAAGAAAAATTTTCTTTGGGTGCTGTTTACTTTCTGGTTGAAAATGTGAGGGTCTATGACGTTTCGATGGCTGATTTTGTTTCTGTTTTCACGTAGAAGGGAAGAATAGAAAACTTTTGGGGAGTCAGATAAAGAGTTCTTATCTCTGGGACTATTCATCTCAGGTTGCATACTTCCGCGGCGACAGGCCGTTTCATGTTCTGAAGTTTCGCCTCGTCCTCGTTTAAATATGGCGCGAATACTTTATACAAAATTATTCCCCCGCATTGCATTGTTGTCTGTACGTCACGAAATCTCGTTGTATTAAGAAACTGTATAAGGAAGGCGGTGTTTAGAGACGTAAAAGAACTCGTTCGAATGGATCGTGTGCCACTTGTGCAGGAAAGACACTGCAAGAACCTGGAGGTGCAGAAGGAATTCCTGGAACCTGTGCTTGGGATACCAGCACTGGGGCGCGGGCCTGCGCATTATCCATTTCACTGTCGTTTGCTATGCTTCAGTAACCTTTCTGCATAGAACACAGGTTTCAGACCATCTGGTGAGATTGGGTTTTCTTCTTATATGTTCCGAATTTATTTCTCACAATCACAGTTGGTCATGCCTCATTGTATAGCCCATTTAATTTAATTAATGCGTTGTTATAATACGGCGAAGTTGTGTTAAATGTTCTGTCCTGGTAGACAGGCATGCTGCAGTGGTTAAAAGTTAACGTATCTCGATGACACCGGTTAGCCTAACGGGCTATTAGATGGAGGTCTGTTGTAACAATTTAATAATAATAATTAATAATAATAATAA